GAGATTTATAGTGATTCAGAGCTATATCCACAAGCCTCCTACATCCACTTCTTCAAGGCAACCTTCTTGAATTTCCATTAGAATCGAATTGCACAAATATAATAGTTTTCACAAGAATTTTCGTCTCACACACTTAGATTTACAAGATTGCACCTAGTTTTACAAGATTTTGCCACTAAGGTTATAATCAAAGTGTTTGTGAATGATTGTCTATTCTCTATAGGCTTATACACACAATAAGAACAAATATTCTCTCAAAGATTTACAAGATGAGTACAAGTGAGATTTGGATTTTGAGCTCAAAGTATTGTATGAGAATGTTATCTGATTTGATATAACTCTTCTCTTCTCTTTTGCATAAAAACCTTGAGTTTTTATACCCCTTAAAAGAATTAGTTGTTGCTTCATTTAATGCAATTCTGATAAAGCTTGCAAACACAGAGTAATGATCGTTCCATAATCGCAAACGGTCATTTATGATACAACAGATATATTTCTTAGATCTAGGGTTTCTGGAATGGATGTTCCACCACGTTGTATGAGAGAGCGAAGACATCATATGGTCATTCCACCAAGCATAACAGCCTTACCCAAATTGCTCTTCCAAATCCACATGATCTTCTAGAAGCAGCCACGACTTCCTGGAAATCTAATTTGAAAAACTCTTCAGAGAGGAATGGTCGTGCCTCTTTTGATATATGAGTTTTGACTTGATTGACTTTGGAGAATAGTCAAGAACGCGAAGGATTCTAAATTTGAAAATCTTGACTTTTGACTTGAACGGAACGATCTTGCAGGTGCCACACATTTTGGCAAAGTGATGAACGATCATGAGGAACGAGGTTGTGCAATGAAGCACGTTCATCTGGGCAGTTTTCTTCTACCAAACGGGCGTGCCTTGATCGTGCACGGTCGTACCTCTTGAAAGTTCTGCTTAAGCACGGTCATACCACCTGACAAGTCTGTTTTGGTTTAGTTATGATTTCTGTCATACCTTAGCATGTTTTGGTTAGTAATCAATCAACATTTTGGATAATTTTGGTACATCAAAACACAAGAGAGGTCAACAACATTAATCATTCAACAACGCCAATAGAAACACGTATATCCTAAAATGGGCTTATTCTATACTCAGTTACTTGGTAAGAAACCTTTTATCTTTCTTCATGTTCAGGGCAAACAGACTATTTGGTAATTTAGCATTAGATGAATTATAATTTAAAGGGGCTTTGTATGTAGTTGTGATTGTTAGCAGCCTCTTGTGTTTTTACTCTTTTGTGTATCAAATTAAGTGCAACTGTAAGTTGAAATTGAATCATTCCCCAGATAGGCAATTCTATTTAGTGAAGTCCAAGGTCTTTAGTTTTGGTGTCTTATGTGTATATGTTAGATGGAGAAATCTTTAAGATTTGTTGGAGTCCCACACCGACTAGGTATGCTCGAGCCTACTGATTTATAAGAGAGGATAATCCTCTTATTCAACAAGGCCTTATTGGGTGAGGAGTCAAGCCTACCTCAAATTCTATTATCGTATCAGAGCTCAAGTTCAGTTGAGCTGAGTGCTTGACCAACGGGTGAGGAGTTAGACCCGACAACTACCTTAATCAACAGGCATGACCCAACATATGAGCTTGACCATGAGGAGGAGTGTTGGAGTCTCACACCGAATAGGCACGGTCAAGCCTACTAGTTTATAAGAAGGGGTAATCCTCCCATTTAACAAGACCTTCTTGGATGAAGAGTCAAACTTACCTCAAATTCTATCAAGATTTAGCTTACATACAAAGCAATCATGCTCAATTATAAAATAGAAAGATACTTTCCCTGTAAAAGAGGTTTTTTAAAAGAAAACTTATGATGAATTTCATGGAAATTTTTAGAAGTTCAGGAGATATTTTTACCCATTTTAAAATTATGGGGTCTCTCTCTGCGTCTCTCTCTGTGAATTACAATGAAATTAACGTAAACTAGAAAAGAATCAATCCATTGCGTGATCAGGCTGACTGCCTCAGGATTTAGGGGTTGTTCAGGAAGCGGAATATCGAGATACATTCATGTTGATTTATGAAGTTTCCAGGAACAAGTTGCTTATACACCTGGATTAATTTCCTGAGTCAAAGTAGCACATAGTCTGAACATCTTTCCAGGGGGACGGTTCAAGAGCCATTGAATCAGAGAATCCACGGCCCCTTGTTCAACACTTTTGGCTGAGGGATGAGTCTTTTTTCCTCAAATACATGATGTTATTTCCCTTTATTCTGAACTATTGGAATTCTGAAAATTATCTATTAGAATATCTAGGCTTAGAATCTTTACTACGAGAAGACTGTCTTCTTCCTTTGGATCCCAATACTCGGATTCTCAAGCATCTGCCGAAAGAGTACAAACAGTTAAGAGTTACACAGAAGGGAATTTCTCATTCCAAATTTTTTACACTTAAAACATATATAAAGTCTATAATTTCCGAAGAAACCCTTTTTCTACATTTGTCGACTGGGTTTAGTTTTTTGAACCATTTACAGGAATAAGATTCCAGGTTCTCACGTGTCCACATTTTCTTCAAAAAGCAATTAAATATTACAGAGGTATGACCTCAGTTGTGAGGGCCTGCAACTTTCTTAACAAATAACTTGAAGCTGAATTTTAACTGTTGAGAATCTAGTCCTGGTGACACCGACCAAAACTTTTTATCTGCAGAAATATCAGCAACTAGCTGAGTATTATAATCATATTTCAACATGATAAAGTGTTAATTTAATCTAATGTAATCTCTAGAATGATCAAAATCTGGTCTTCAAGCCACTACAAATCAATATTGGGGATGAATTAAGTAGAATAACCTAGACCTAACGCTTAATCTGAATCTTCAATCTTGAGCTTTATTTAAGTTTTCAAATCCTAAAGATATGCTTTTAAAACAAATTCAAAACTTACCACCAGTATTCCAAAGTAACACCCAAATGATCAATCACCTCAAATATATAAATATTAAAGCGATTACAGGATTTGACGATTCATATATTTTAGTATCAAAGGAGTAGACAAAGTTACAGGTTTAGATGCTAACACCACTACAGTGGATGTCCCCAGTGACAAACTAATACAATAAGATTTTATTAATTCTCAACTTGAGATTCTCTAACCAAGGGCATAATTAATCAGAGTCCTCTTTATTTATTATATCTTATCATATCGGGCCATTACTACGCTTATCATATGGGGTTATGAGTATTGAATCACAGACATTTACCAACACGAATATTTACCACTGGAATAAAGCTCTCTGTCGGTGCAGAACATGTTTTGGGTAATAGTTTTCTTGCATCCGGCTAACTTTTTCCAGCGCGGTTGTGCATCAGGGAACTGGCAGCTAGAAGCTGCCTCATGAGTACCAACACATTCCTGAGCCGGGTCGAGAGTGCTTGTCGAGACATGTACATTTTCTAGTAGTGATTCAATTCAAGACTAATCACTTCATAACACATAAATAATTTGTATGATGACTGATACTTCAGATGTCCAAGGTGGAAAAAGGAAGCAAAATTCAATACCGAGTTATTGTGTCTCCACCAATGTACATTTTGACGACTAATTAAACAATGATTGTGGGTCGAATATAAGTAGAAAAAGCTTCAGGAATTTTCCACACCGCTCTAGCTTTTTGGAATGGTTGGGGGTAGATTCTATGTGAAGAGGCCGGGGGCCAGACTCTGCAGAAAAAGATGTTCTGAATAGTATATTGTAATGATTATATCAAAGAAAGAAGCCCCCCATAAAGTCTTAGGTCTCTTCAACTTTAGAAAATTGGAGAGGAGGGGCCAAACATTGTGCAGTTTCATTTCCAAAAGAAAAGCATCCCAAAAAGATAAGAAAGCATGTTTTACGAGTAAAACAAGTTTTCTTCTTGTACTATTTCATACATTGCATATGATTGCGTGTAAGAGAAGGCTACTTAATTTGACTAAACTGATGTATGATTTTCCAGTTTCAAGAGCAGAAAACTCAGTTCCTTTTTTCCAGGAATTATCATCATAAATAGAACATCAACACTTACAGTATTTGATGGTTGCACGTGGTAGTGGGTGATTGTGCGGCAAATACTTCCCCCAGCAACTTTTTATTTATTATTATTTTTTTTTTACCATTGAAAGTGTTCAGGTCAGTTTATACGCACCTTAACTAATCCTCTAAACCTTAGAACTATCGGTTGAGTAAAAATTGCAATGACCACTTATATTAACAACCGAAAAAGGATTCGAACTCAAGAACTTTTAAATAATACATTTAAGAGTCTCGGTCGAATTATTCAACCACACAAAGGATGGTTCCCTACGAATTTGTTAAAGTGACAGTGAGTTTTGATGGCTTGATCAATCAAATTAAGATAAAGAAATGACATACCAAACTGTGATAGTTCAGTCACTATTAAAAAACGACTTGTCATCCTTCCCTTCCACATCACATGAATGCCTCTGCCCACCCTATAAACAGTCATATTTTGTTGTAGCCATTAATTTTATTAAATTACTTATATATGTTACGTGTCTAAATGTGGACCGGACCTACTATGGAACAGTTGAAATGGTTACTTAAAAGGAAATAGAGGGAGTTAAACTTAAAGAAAATATTAGAGGTACAAAGACTCTTATAAAAAGTCTTTATACAAAGTGATGTGGCCACACCACTAATTTAACATCAATCTTCTCTTTCTTTTCACAAAATAATGGTATGACAACTGTCACATCACTTCATACAAAGACTCTTTGTACATATAGTATTTTTCAAAACTTAAACCCTAAGGTTGAGTTTGGTTTGGTTTGGAAATTAGGATGATAAAAGTGGAATATTCTCTATTAATCTTCAGGTAGTGAAGTTGGCCATTTTGCAAGGTGGGGGCAGCAAGGAATCTCATGAATAAACCATGAGGAAGGCATTTTATTTTTTACCCCACTTTTAAGCCAATTTCTTTTTTATATTTTTCATTTATTTTCAAACAGAATAAGAAACATTAAACCAATTTTTTCCCTTTAAATCCACAACCCCACTCTCACTTCTCTTCACACAAACAATTAAACTCACTCCTCCTCATCATCGTCCATCATGGGAGAAGGTGAAGTGGTGAACCTAGAAGAAGAGCAGGGAGTTATGGATATTAGTCTCAAAGACCTCTCGAGAAAGCTTGAAGAATTTGCCAAAGCGAGAGATTGGGAGAAATTCCATAGTCCCAGAAACCTTCTCCTTGCCATGGTAATCAATTTGCCTCTCTCAACTTTCCTCACTTTCTTAATCAAAGATCATCTTCCTTGCATCAAATTACAATGCCAAATCCATATATAGTTATTTTCCCTTGTTGCATATGCATTCCTGATCATTATATTCCTGTCAAAATTTCTTTGTTAATTTTCAAAATGAATTGGAGACTACTCTAAAACCATAACAATCATTTTTGTCTGCAGGAACAATAATCAAAGTCGTTATATGCTAAATTTATGTCCATCAATTGATTTAAATTAAATCCCGCCTTTTCAGTCTTTACAGGATTAATTTAATAATGTTAAAACAAAAAAAATTTTGTCAACCAAGGGTCCTGAGAACAGATTCGTAAGGCTTTCATCGGTTCAAAATGACAGAATAATTGAAAATTTTAATCAACCCGGATTCCTATATTGTACTTGATGTTTTTCCACGGCTCAAAATGGGTTCCAGACAAAATTTTTGAATGGTTCAGAACCACACCAAGGCCTACACGGGAAGGGCAAATCCTGCTAATTATGCAGCAAGATCAGGCATCTTGAAGGTTAACAAGTACGGTCGTGCGCCGATAATAAACAGAGGAATCTCTAAGGCCATATTCAGTATTGAAAATTTCTGGGAATTTTTACCCGGGGAATTATTTTCCTAACTTTTTTTTTTTTTTTTTCTAAAGATGCTTCTGTCATTTCATATAGCAAAATCAAAACTTTAACCTACAGATACTCTACAGTTATCTGAATTTGTCGCAATCCGATATTAATTAATAACCTTTCTGTTTTTGCACAAATAATCGAATTTGATATACAGGTAGGTGAAGTGGGAGAGCTATCAGAAATATTCCAGTGGAAAGGAGAGGTGGACAAAGGGTTGCCAAATTGGGAAGACGCAGACAAGGAGCATCTTGGAGAAGAGCTATCAGATGTTCTTCTATATCTTATCAGGTTGGCTGATATTTGCGGCATTGATCTAGGCGACGCCGCAGCCAAAAAGATTGTCAAAAATGCAATCAAATACCCACCTAAAGCTCTTTTGAAATAACTTCATTATGCAATAACCTGCCATTTTTGCCTGCCAATTGAGCTTGGAAAAAAAAAAAAAAAAAAATAAAAAAAAACTGATGTAACCCCAGTGGTGACTTTTAAATAATAATAACTATCTTTATTGTTATTGTGACATTTCAGCTTTTTTTTTCTATTGTGTGGTAATGGTGGCGAATATAAAAGAATGAGCTGGTTAAGCAATTTGATGCGTCTATCAAAATGAATTAAGGTACTTTATGAGATTCAATCATGTTATTGCTTATAAAAGATGGCTATGAGTTGTTTTACAGCTGTTTAGAGATTTTAGAGTTACAGGTTTTGATGATTGTTATTGTGTGATATGAAGAAAACCAGAAGGGAATCACATTCTGTTTTGGCTCATCAAGGTTGAGATTTGTGTGAAAGGTAATGCTATGTGTACTAACGGATTTTACTAACCAGTGTACTAATTTTTGTTAAAATTATATATAATACCCATATTATGCTTTAAGTTAGTACACTAGTTAGTAAAATCCGTTAGTACTCAAAGTATTATTGTTTGTGTGAATTAGATAGACCCATAGAGAGGGAGACGTTTTACTTGCCTTCATTGGATTGGACTTGTCAATATATTCCACAACTATAAACTCCTTCCTTTTAAAATAATTATTTTCTATTAAAGATTTGATAGATGATTAATCATTGATGAGTATATTAATACTGTCACATGCATTCCATTTTTTTTAATTAAATATTCATAAATGTGGCAAACAGGGCATAACCAAGTATACTCAGTGGGGTTATTTGATCCCACTTAAATTCTGAAATTCTGAAATTATTAAAAATAGGTACATATTTTATAGTAATTAACAATTTTGACCCAACTAGAATTACTTATATTTGATTGACCCCCACTAAGATATTTTCATATTTTATTGATCCCGTGATTTGAAAATACTCATATTCTTTTTCACGTTTTCTCTCTTCTCTCATACTTTCTTCTTCATTTGGTTGAACTAATCAAGAAAGATTACTCCTTTGAGGGTCACAAGGTAAGATGATGCTCATTTTTTGTTATTTTGCTTAAAAATCTATTTTTCTATCTTTCTTAATTGATGAAAGATCATGAGCTATGTTGCCTTAGGTTGCTGTTATCATTTTATGTATGTAATTGACATAATTGTATGTTAAATGAGACGAGCTTAGTTAATTTTGGCTAATATGTGAGTTTAATAAATGGGATTAAAATTGGAAGATAAAATTCCTAGATTTTGATGTGGGTTATGATNCAAATCCATATATAGTTATTTTCCCTTGTTGCATATGCATTCCTGATCATTATATTCCTGTCAAAATTTCTTTGTTAATTTTCAAAATGAATTGGAGACTACTCTAAAACCATAACAATCATTTTTTTCTGCAGGAACAATAATCAAAGTCGTTATATGCTAAATTTATGTCCATCAATTGATTTAAATTAAATCCCGCCTTTTCAGTCTTTACAGGATTAATTTAATAATGTTAAAACAAAAAAAATTTTGTCAACCAAGGGTCCTGAGAACAGATTCGTAAGGCTTTCATCGGTTCAAAATGACAGAATAATTGAAAATTTTAATCAACCCGGATTCCTATATTGTACTTGATGTTTTTCCACGGCTCAAAATGGGTTCCAGACAAAATTTTTGAATGGTTCAGAACCACACCAAGGCCTACACGGGAAGGGCAAATCCTGCTAATTATGCAGCAAGATCAGGCATCTTGAAGGTTAACAAGTACGGTCGTGCGCCGATAATAAACAGAGGAATCTCTAAGGCCATATTCAGTATTGAAAATTTCTGGGAATTTTTACCCGGGGAATTATTTTCCTAACTTTTTTTTTTTTTTTTTCTAAAGATGCTTCTGTCATTTCATATAGCAAAATCAAAACTTTAACCTACAGATACTCTACAGTTATCTGAATTTGTCGCAATCCGATATTAATTAATAACCTTTCTGTTTTTGCACAAATAATCGAATTTGATATACAGGTAGGTGAAGTGGGAGAGCTATCAGAAATATTCCAGTGGAAAGGAGAGGTGGACAAAGGGTTGCCAAATTGGGAAGACGCAGACAAGGAGCATCTTGGAGAAGAGCTATCAGATGTTCTTCTATATCTTATCAGGTTGGCTGATATTTGCGGCATTGATCTAGGCGACGCCGCAGCCAAAAAGATTGTCAAAAATGCAATCAAATACCCACCTAAAGCTCTTTTGAAATAACTTCATTATGCAATAACCTGCCATTTTTGCCTGCCAATTGAGCTTGGAAAAAAAAAAAAAAAAAAATAAAAAAAAACTGATGTAACCCCAGTGGTGACTTTTAAATAATAATAACTATCTTTATTGTTATTGTGACATTTCAGCTTTTTTTTTCTATTGTGTGGTAATGGTGGCGAATATAAAAGAATGAGCTGGTTAAGCAATTTGATGCGTCTATCAAAATGAATTAAGGTACTTTATGAGATTCAATCATGTTATTGCTTATAAAAGATGGCTATGAGTTGTTTTACAGCTGTTTAGAGATTTTAGAGTTACAGGTTTTGATGATTGTTATTGTGTGATATGAAGAAAACCAGAAGGGAATCACATTCTGTTTTGGCTCATCAAGGTTGAGATTTGTGTGAAAGGTAATGCTATGTGTACTAACGGATTTTACTAACCAGTGTACTAATTTTTGTTAAAATTATATATAATACCCATATTATGCTTTAAGTTAGTACACTAGTTAGTAAAATCCGTTAGTACTCAAAGTATTATTGTTTGTGTGAATTAGATAGACCCATAGAGAGGGAGACGTTTTACTTGCCTTCATTGGATTGGACTTGTCAATATATTCCACAACTATAAACTCCTTCCTTTTAAAATAATTATTTTCTATTAAAGATTTGATAGATGATTAATCATTGATGAGTATATTAATACTGTCACATGCATTCCATTTTTTTTAATTAAATATTCATAAATGTGCTAAACAGGGCATAACCAAGTATACTCAGTGGGGTTATTTGATCCCACTTAAATTCTGAAATTCTGAAATTATTAAAAATAGGTACATATTTTATAGTAATTAACAATTTTGACCCAACTAGAATTACTTATATTTGATTGACCCCCACTAAGATATTTTCATATTTTATTGATCCCGTGATTTGAAAATACTCATATTCTTTTTCACGTTTTCTCTCTTCTCTCATACTTTCTTCTTCATTTGGTTGAACTAATCAAGAAAGATTACTCCTTTGAGGGTCACAAGGTAAGATGATGCTCATTTTTTGTTATTTTGCTTAAAAATCTATTTTTCTATCTTTCTTAATTGATGAAAGATCATGAGCTATGTTGCCTTAGGTTGCTGTTATCATTTTATGTATGTAATTGACATAATTGTATGTTAAATGAGACGAGCTTAGTTAATTTTGGCTAATATGTGAGTTTAATAAATGGGATTAAAATTGGAAGATAAAATTCCTAGATTTTGATGTGGGTTATGATTTAATTTTGTTTATGTTGAGGTATGAGTTAATTAGTTGTTATTTTAAGTTGGGTTTGATAAATTTTGGTTAGTTATTGAGTTAATTTTGAATGGATTTAAAGATAGATGAAACCTAGCTAAGTTGTAGAGATTTGAGGATTTATTTTACTTTTAATATATTGATTAATTGTTTGATATATTTTTATACTTATTATCTTGGTACATATTTTATTGTAAATTTATCAACTTAGATCTTTTGACCCCACTAATTAGAAATCATGGCTACACCCTCAAGTAAGGGTTCCAAATTCTATTAAAATAATAATAATAATAATGAAAAATTGTTATAAAATATGTGGTCATCTATCGCCTTAACTATGATGAATGGGCCCTAGACACTACTCTCCATCTAGAATCTATGAAACCGAGGGAAGTGATTAAGGAAGGAAACATGGCGTCCCTGTAAGACAAATCAAAGGCTACTATTTTCCTTTGGCATCATATCAAAGAAGGATCGCAGGTTGAGTATAAGGATATAAAAGATCCATTCAAATTGTTGATTAACTTGAATGAGAGATTTGAACATAACAAGTCAGTAATACTCCTAATGGCTCAATATGACTAGACTCATTTGCATTTACAAGATTATAAATTTGTCACTGAATATAATTCTGCTTTATTTGACATTGTCTCTAAATTAAGATTATGTGGAGAGAAAATATTTGAAGAAAATATGTTGGAAAAAACATTCTCCACTTTCCACCCCTTCAATATGCTCCTACAATAGCAATATAAGGAGTGTAACTTTAAGAAATATTCTGAATTAATTTCGTGTTTACTTGTTGCTTAGTAAAACAATGAATTGTTGCTAAGAAACCACCAGACTCGCCCAATTGGTTCCCAACCGTTCCTTGAAGTGAATGCAACGACTAGTAGGAATAATCGTCGGCATAGGCACGGTCAAGGCCATGAGCAAAACCCAGAGGTGGTCATAACAAGAAGTTTCAATCGAACCACCCGAAGTGGAACAAGACTGAATCAGAAAATGAAAAAAGAAACCACTCGCAGAACAAGGATAATGAAAACAAATGCTATTGATGTGGAGGGTCACGTACCTATTGTACGCCAAAGCACTTGGTAGAGTTGTATCAAGCATCAATTAAGAACAAAAAGATAGAGACAAATCACATTGATGCCCCTAAGACAAATCATGTTCATAATTCTAAACTGACTGGCCTTAATGTCTCAGACTTCTTTGGAGATGCTGATATGGAATATTAGAGTAGTTATGAAAATGTCTGTGATTTCCAAGATTTATGTAACTTTTGTTATGTTCTGAAACTATGTATTATTGCAATGAATATTGTTTGTTTGTACCTCTTCAAATTATGTAAACATCCTTACTAATGTAAAATTTTGTTTTCTTTAAGGATGAACTTAAAAAATGAAACATCGATATCCAGTAATGATGGACATATTTGTATAGTAAATAGTGCAACAATGCACACCATCCTTCGGGATGAAAAATATTTTTCAGATTTGACATTTACTGGACTAAACTAAATACCATATT